AAAAGGCTAGTGGCCATTGATGTGTATTTTTTGGGATCATTGGCATTTGTACCATTTGTACCTGGCTTGTTCAGAACTTCATGTACAATTTTAGACACCAAATGGCTTGTAGTTGTATAAGCAAAAGTAAAAAAAAAGGTGGTTTCCTTTCACTGTAAGGCCAAATAATGATGCCAAATAAATAATGTCTATTATCAGAGAATGATGAGCTCCCTCTAATGAGCCAACTGCCCTAGGTAGATCATGATACAATGCCATCTGCAACTTGGTCCACCACAGCCATTGCATACCATGCAAACCCAAAGGGATAAGTATATTATTTTTACTCATTCTATGTTACAGGATGGGACTGGTACTGTAACTCCTGGTAATGCATCAGGGTTGAATGATGGTGCAGCAGCACTAGTTTTAACAACAGAAAAAGAAGCTAAAGCCAGGGAACTGAAGCCACTAGCTAGGATTATGGCTTGGGCTCAGACAGGAGTTGACCCAGCTGTTATGGGAATTGGACCTGTGTCTGCTGTAAAAAAAGTGGTGAGTAGCTGCAGTGTGGATTTTGTCGCTAGTAAGTTTTCAAGATTTTGAAAATAAGTTGCATATACAGTATAGACATGCAGTTGGTCTAAAATGAGATTATTTTGAAATTTAAAAATGTTGTTAAAATTAATTTGCCAAATACTTTCCAGCTTAGTAAAGTTGGCTGGTCAGTAGAAGATGTTGATTTGTGGGAGCTGAATGAAGCATTTGCTGCGCAAAGTTTAGCAGTTTTGAGAGAACTTGGTCTTGATAAGGACAAAGTTAATGTAAATGGTGGAGCTATTGCCCTTGGGCATCCAATTGGTGCATCCGGTATGTAGAAATTTGTATTTTGTATTTTTCTGAAATGGATTTCAATTAATATTAAGTTGTTGATATGTATATTGATATTTTTAGGGGTGAGTTAAAGTTACATTTATATTTCATCAAAAGATTATGACTCTTCATTGTTTATGTTTAGTGGAATAGCCTAACAATTACTGAAAGAAAACATTGATTAAAAAGTTACTTTTACACTTATACTTATAGACTTAAACCTGAACAGTTATACTTATACTCAATCTTTTGTTTATACTTGCTCATACATTTGCATTTACATGTACACACGCATGCACACACGCACACACACACACACATACATGTACAGGCACAGGCACAGGCATGCACACACACAAACATGTACATGCGCACACATGCGCGTGCAGAGACATGCATATACACAGACACTCTTAACACACGGATATATCAACACACAAACACATAGTCACACAGACACATAGACACAGATACATAAACACATAGACATAAACACAGCCACATTCACTGTCACATTCAATGTCACATTCACTGTCACATTCACTGTCACAGACACACACACAGACACACACACAGACACACACACAGACACACACACACACACACACACACACACACACACACACACACACACACACACACACACACACACACACACACACACACACACACACACACACACACACACACACACACAGTCACAGCCACAGCCACAGCCACAGCCACAGCCACAGCCACAGCCACAGTCACAGCGACAGTCACAGTCACAGACACATAGACGCAGTCACAGCCACAGTCACAGGCACAGGAACAGGAACACACAGAGACACAGACACAGTCACAAGCACAGTCACAGACACAGTCACAGACACAGTCACAGACACAGTCACAGACACAGTCACAGACACAGTCACAGACACAGTCACAGACACAGTCACAGACACAGTCACACACACAGATACACACAGACACACACACACAGACACACACACACACACACACACACACACACACATACACACACACACACATACACACACACACACACACATACACACACACACACACACACACACACACACACACACACACACACACACACACACACACACACACACACACACACACACACACACACACACACACACACACACACACACACATTCACATCTATAATTAGACTTTTGATTATAAGTTGTGGATCTAAGGAATATTAGTGAATATTAAAGAGTAGATGCAAAAAAGCTGCTGTTCGTATCAGACCGAAAATGAAATTGCTTGAGCAAGAATTATAAACAGAATTCTGCCCAGTTGTTAAACTTTATTCACATATTTGTGTATTACAGGTGCAAGAATTCTGGTGACTTTACTGCATGCAATGAAGCGACTTGAGAAGAAACGTGGTGTTGCTGCTCTCTGTGTTGGGGGCGGCATGGGAATTGCTCTTTGCGTAGAGCGATCTTAAGTCACTGTGCATGATATTTTACATTAATTGTTGAGTGGATTAAATATTTTAAAGGTTGTTATAGGTATTGTTGATTAGATAGATTTATTTGATATAACCTGATTTAAGGATGCTAAATTTTAATATTTTCTCTTTTGAACTTTTGATCTTTTTTTTCTTTTGATCCTGTTTAGTTTATTAGCTCAAATTAGTGCCTTTATTAGGAAATGATTTCTAGGTTGTTTACGAGTTTCATTCCATTTGGTCAGTAAGATAATTTTTAAGAATAATATAAACAGAAAAATGTATATTTTTGTAGGATATGATGCCTTACATGCATTTTTGTGAATGCATTCGTGATATGTATATCTACAGAGTCATCTGCTTTTACATTAATATAGTGCTTAAAAGGCTGTTCATGGTCCACTATATATAGGTCTTAAATATTAGGTGTTGTTTATTTCATATTCTTTATTTTAGAAATATGGTATAGTTTGATTAATGACAAATTTGATTCACAAATTCATCATAAGAGAAGACTGAAGCTTTAATAAATGTTTTGCAAGGTACATGATTAAAACCCAGTCAGTTTTAATAATAATTCAACAGATATGGTGCATAGTTAAAGATGTTTTATCTCAGAGAAATTGCTTTGTAGCTGGAAGTGTTACCGAGTTAGTGAAAAAAATATGATAGAAGATTAATATATAACACATACCTATGTAGATTCTCTTTTAGTTAGATAATATACACCTATAAGAAAAAAAATCAATAATCATTTTGCTTTGATACATAATGCATTGGATATGAAAAGCACAAAATGATTTGGCATAACTGACAGTAATATTTATATATGTCTTGTATGTACTATTTGTGAATGGTAGATGTAAATCTTTATATCCATTTTCTTCAGATCTGAATATGTAATTTCAAGTAGGTGATCAATTTTGATTATTTGTTCTACCAATTTTCCATTTATTATTAATATGATTGTTATTGATTTGCTACTATTTCAGTAAGGGCATTATTGTTTTGTCAGGTAAATGAAGTTTAGCAGTACAAGTTATTTCTCATTATGCCATGTTAACAGTTTTGGTTAACAGTTTTGATTCTTATTTTGTTACGTGGACTGGAGATCTGTCTTCCACTTCTTAAGCAGGCATTTGGTGATCTGATTTTGTGTGTTATTGATTCAATTGTATGATTTTCAATGTTTTACAGGATATTTGAAATAGGTTTTACCATTTAGATATTTAGAATTCTCATTTTACAGTATGTGGTGTCTTCATGGACACATTTCCCCATATGCACTTGTTCTGGAGTTTTTTTTTTTTTTTTTGTGTGTGTGTGTGTGTGTGTGTGTGTGTGTGTGTGTGTGTGTGTGTGTGTGTGTGTGTGTGTGTGTGTGTGTGTGTGTGTGTGTGTGTGTGTGTGTGTGTGTGTTTGTTTGTTTGTTTTGCGTGTGCGTGTGTGTGCACACTCACGCGGGCATGTCCAATATATATATGTACATATGTGTGTATTGGAAAGAAACAAAAGATTTAAGTAAAATTAGTAGTGTGCTCACAAGTACTAAAACCTATCTGTGCATACATGAGTCCCATATAACAGTTCAGAATCTGATTTTTCTAGTGAGCTTGATTGTAGTGACTGTGCATTGAAAGGTATGTAAACTGACATGCATAGTAGGACACAATATGGAACAGTATAAGAATGTTATATAGTAAGATTGCAAGAGGACTTCATGAAATACTCAAAGACAATTAAGTAACCAAACACTAGTCTCTGCAGAAGTTAGCTGAAGGTCACACCTAAGTAATAAGTGGTTTGTTATTATTTATAGAATTCGGTGAGCAAGACCAAAGTAGGACTGAAATTTGAATGCCAGACACATAAGGTTGTAATGTGTGTTTATAAACAAAAAAGAAATGTAGATAAGCATAAATAGGGCTGTGTATGTAGTATTGATCACATATCCTGAATGATCAGGATTTTTACCACATTTTATATTATACTTTACTGAAGAGATCTTCAAGTAAAGTTCTTTAGAAGCTCAAGGATTTAGGTTATGATACACCTAACAAAAGTATTGTTAAGTTTTTTAGTTTTCCTGGTTTTGATAAGTAGACATTGAATTATTTTTAAGACTTGTTACAAGGGAAAAGGTGACAAATTTGGAATACATTCTGCAATAAGTCACAAATAATGTTGTATCATATTTTAATATACTTTACTGAAGAGTAATCCATGTTAAGTTCTTCAGAAGCTCAAGGATTTAGGTTATGATATACCTATCATAAGCATGGTTATTCCTATAGTTTTAATAAGTAGATTGATTTATTATTTTTTAATTAAGACTTGTTACAAGCAAAAATACAACAAATTTGGGATACAGTTTGCAATAAGTCACAAGTAAATAATTTTATTTTTGTTGTTTTTTCTCAGGCTTTACGCTAGCTATCTATATGGTAATTATTTTTAGTTCCAAGAATAAAGCAACTATTATTTCAACAGGGACTTGCACATACCAATTCAAAGTGTAGAGGAAAAGTCTCCTTTGGGATAGATAGATTGTCTTTGAATATGAAACTGCTATTTTCAGTGCTCTCTTGTCAAAAGATTCAGGTTATTTTATTTTGAAAATGTTTATTGGTTGTGGCAATAATTGTAATTGTATTTAGTGAAGTAAAGACTTTATACACTACACTGGTTTACATTTCTTAACACTTGTGTATGTATGTGAAAAATGGTATATTGGTGATAAGCAATTTTATGTTTTCTCCATTTTCTACGTTATTAGTCCCATCCCAATCTCTTGCCTGTTGTTGCCGTGGGCAGTAGCTTAGGAGATGGAGACGAGAACCCAATGATGGGGATAACCCCTGCTTTGGGCCTCAGCTCTTGAGTAAATTGATTTTGCTCAGTCTTTTCCCCTTCCCTTTTTTGTTTCCTTCCCCTCTCTAACCTTTCAACTATCCATTTCTTAAGGTGTGAGACCCATGTTGAAAGGATGAAAAACGGACTTTGTGCCAGCCATGGATGGCCCAGTATTCCTTTTTGTTTAGCCTTTACCCCAGAGGGAGACCCTGAGGGGAGGACTATTTCTCTCCCCAACATATCCTAGATTTACTATGGCCAGTAATGAAGACTGTATCATTAATAGGGGCATTAAGGCCTACCCCTTTATCAAGTATCCCCACTGATTTCAATTCCGGTTCCCCAGTCCCAAGCTCCATACCTACTATCACATTAGCCTACTTCAAATCTTCCATCCGGCTCTCTCAACATTCACTCCCACAACTTTCTTTATCAACTACCTCATCCTCCCTTATTAATCCTCTGGAACCTTATTGTCCACCACTTTGCAGTACTACCTCTGTCTCTGTCCTTCTACAACCCCCTCTTATACAAATACCTTGAATACTCTGTTTAACCGTGCCAAATGGGATTGATTTTTCATAATCCCTCCTACAGCCCCTTAATCTGACAACACTCCTCTTCCAGCAATAGTTGCAAAAACAAGAAGGCAAAGTTTCCTTCTGCAGCTGCCCTGATGAATCCTGCCTTGTTGCAGTTACATCCAAATCCCAAGATAGCTTTATCAACCTTAATTAACTTCACTGGCAAACTCATTCCTGCCCAACCTCATCCCTCCTTCAATACTTGCACTGAAACTATCTCACCTCACCAGCAAACTGCCAAATATTGCCAAAATTACTTTACATAGACATGACCTCCCCTTTAATGTTCACATTGGCAGAGTCCTTCCCTGTCTGACCATATCAACCTCCCCCCTGTCAGCATCAGAATTATTGGTGTCTAGGCCATTCTGCCAAACACTGCTTTTCTACAGCCCTATTCCCTCTCAGTGCTCAACCTGGTCACAATCGATCAAACTGCTCTGCACAATCACGCATGTGTACCCATTGTGGCAGTTTCCATAATGTATTTTATAAGGGCTGCCCTGCCTCCAAGTTTGAATCTGAAGTGCTGAGTCTCAGATTCAAACTCGGCCTCACTTTATGAGAAGCCAAACAGGAAACATATTGATGAGGTTTCTCTTCCACAGCCTACTCCAGTAATTGCTCTGCCTCTTCCCTTTCCTCCCAAGATGTTTCTACATCTCCCCCAGCTTCTCTTCCTCATCCCACTTCTACCCCCTACCTATCCAGTCAAATTCTATTGCCATTCTAAAGCTGCATTTACACCAAGTGAATCGAATCAATTCAATTCATGAAGAATCAACATGATTCATGAATCGTGTTGATTCGCCACACTAGTGTCAATGTAATCGTTTACACCAGGTGAATCAATTCAATTCAAATCATGCTGATTCATGGTAACTCAGAATCAATGATGGGTTTGAACCTATTTTTTCATCAGCAAGGCGAGTCACCCGAGCAGGAAGCATCATGCAAGTGGAACTCCTCTCAGTTTAGTGCAAGAACGATGTGATATTTATCATTGTGATGTAATTGCTGTGTTATGGAAGGATATTGCTATATTGATCCCATTCTGAAGAATACCTTTATACCCGCTAACCTCCATATTAGTTACCAAGTCTCTTGCCAGTCCTATTAATAAACCAAAAGCAATTCATTAATATTTTCTTAGAGAAAAGAATGAATAAGAATTAGACAATGCAAATGGTGGGGGCTTAAGAGGCAGAAATAAAACCAATGTGGGGATCACTTCTACCTTGGACCTTGGTCTTTTCTTCCCTTCCTTTTATTTTCCTTCTCTTCTTCATCCCCTCTTCTGTCCACTTACCTTAATCGCTAACTCATTTTTACCCTTTTTGCCATAATACTTTGTCATGATGCTGTGTGACCTTTGATATCTGGCACATTTGTTTGTCTTGGCCAGTCACAAACATCACTTTGTGAACAAAAAACTTTTTAGTTGCCCCACCCTATCTCTATATTTAAAAATCCACCGCTTTATGATCTTAGATGTTGATGTGGCAGATTTTTTTCAGTAAATGAGTAGATAATGTGAATGATAGAAAAAAGGTCCATGCTACATTTCCAAAATTGGAAGTTGTATGTTGAAGATACAAAACAAATCCTTTCTTAGTATGTAAGTGTATGTAATACAATGCAAGACTGCTAATTTCCTGTGGTGTATTTCGGTCTATTTTGAAGTTTCCAATACAGGACACTGATACTTTACCGCAGCTTTACATGCTATTTATAATGAACAAAAGGGTATGTTGTGAAACATATTCCATACGTCCATACTCCTCAAAGGCTGCCTTGGTACTGAATGATGTGCTGATCAGTTTCTGTCAGTTGGAACTATGCTGATTCAAACTGACTTGAGTCAAATGATTCTTCATGAATTGAATCGATTTGATTAGCGTGAGTCCAGACACCTCAATCTCCACCACTATTCCAGACACTCCAATACCTACTCCTTCCTTGCCCAACTCATTGTACAAGACAAGCTAATTGCTCCATCCCATCTTCTACCCCAATCCTCTCATCAACCTCTCCCTCCATCCCTCATCTGTCTCCTCTTTTCCCCCTCATAAGAAAACCTTTGTTTCTCAGACCTCCCCAACTGACTCTATTGCAGGAACTCTCAAAGACATTCAAAACTCTCTAATCATGACCCAAGATAACATGCCTACACCTCATCCATCCTCCAATACCCATTCCTTCTACACTCAACTTAACTGACATCTATCATCCTACTTATGTTCCCCTTAACACCTCTTCCTCCCACTCCCTGCCAGCTGCATTATTCCCTCCTCCTTCTCCATTATCCCTCCTGCTTCCTCCTGGATGTGACCCTTTGACACAGCAAGCCCCTTCCCTGGATTCTCTCCCTCCTGTCATTCTCCCAGAAACTGTGATCTAATTGCCCTTAAACCCCTCTCTCCTTGCTAATCCCTACCTTAACCTATGGACATCCTTGCAAAATCCCACACATCTTCCTTTCACAACTTTGATCTCATCGCCCTTGTTAAAACTTACCTTTCTGAACTGCAATACGATTTCTGATGTATAGCACATTTAATCATCAACTAAATCCCCTTTACCCTTTTTGTTATTACACTGCTATGTGACCTTTGATGTCTAGCACACATATTTTGCTTTGTAACCATTAACCATTACATTATTAGTCAGAAGGTTAAGATAGAAGTGGCTTTATGATGATTATTTATTTAAAATTGATTATTAAAAAAATAACAAATGAGAAATATATTAACACTTATATAAAGCAATAATTTAGATTATCACTTTTAAGTAAAATGAGATTCTAAAGAAAAACACTTAATTTTTATAATTATGGCCCTGGACTACTACATTCAAAGAAATAACCAAAAATTATTGTCTGCTAAGAAAGAAAAAAAGCTGTATAGCTAGGAAGACACTGATGGATAAAATAATGGATTTATACAAAAGGTGGAGCAAGATGATTTGTACTTTCAGAGAAAGAGATATGAAAAAAAGAGAAGAAAGACTGTTGAAAAGCACTGGCATGTTACAGCATACTGGCACAAAGAAAGGATGAGGTTTATAGTTTAATTGAAACCCTTCAACTGCTAATACATAATGTATTGTTCTGAGAAGCTGAATTCCAAATAACCTGCTTACATATATAATTCTCATGAAGTTTAAGTGAGGATAGGGTACATTAATATCTCTTTATATATGGAGGGAATATATAAATGAAAGTCATCTGATGAATTATTGACTTCTGATTGCTTTCATTCTATGCTCCAAGCTGAATGTTTTGGAAGAATATGAATAGCAAAAAAAAAAGAAAGATCTAAACTTACTCTGTGGGTTATAGTTGAAGGGATAATTTAGAAAATCAGAAATCTAGATTTCAATCTTAACAATTTTAATGGAAGATGGATATATCTGCAAACATAATGGCTTATCTTCAATAATGGTTGATCCAAGTGTAAAGTCTAAAAATGCTCTGAACAAAGCCAAAATCTTTTACATTTGAAACATATTATAGCAAGACAATGTTTTTTTATAATATAATGGATACATGTAAAATGAAAATAATCTTTAAATGCAATTTGCTAGTTTAAATGGTATTTATGCCACAATATATTTTTGATTGTGTTTTGAGTATACATGGTAGGTAAACATCATTAGCACCTTCATATAAACAACAACTATAAAAGTTTACAAATATATGATGAGATTAAATAACAAATATTCACACAATATATATTTCTTATGCTTAACAAATTGAAGAAATACTGTGAAATAGCATACACTTCCAACCATACTTTTCACTCTGAACATATAAGTATTGTAACTTCTTGCCAAAACACATGATAAAGCATCACATGGTCATTAAAAGTATTTAAAATAAGGCATCAGTAGGATCACATTACGTTTAGACAATACAGTACTTCTTAGTCAAAGAGAAAAACAAGAGAATCATCTCAATGAAAAAGACAAGTTATTTACATAGAGTCAACAAATGTATTAACAACACATGGGTGGTAGACAACAAGATAGTATATATATCAACAGAACACATCTTTCTGACCAAATTATCATTAATTGACGATCCTATAATTACGGAATTAACCTCCAGAAAATGAATTTTAGGAAAACTTGGAGTAATTCTTCAAAAAGAACGAAAATTTGTCATGGAGAACAGTATCTTTTATCTCTATTTTTTAGAGCTCATCGTGACGCTTCAGACGATGACAACGGCAATCTCCAAAAC